TCCTCTCTTTTCGTCTTTCTCCCCAAACACCACATACATTGGTGGCACCTCTCCGCATATGTACTTACGGAAATATTTAATATAGTTCCGCCAGTGTTATTAAAATCGGATCGATCTGGCCGGGTCGACTCGGGAATCGGTAAACCGGTCATATAATCGATCCGATTGAAGCAACGGATCGGTCATGCATCAGAACCGGTGTGACCCGGTTCGACCCGGCTGGTTTTTATGAAAACCGGTGACCCGATCGGTTAACCGATGACCCGGTCCGGTCTAAAAAAAAAATTAAATTATTTATTTTTTCAAAAAAAAATCATAATGGATATATTTGAAAAAATTTTTGCTTATTGATTTACATAAGTTATGTACCTACAACACTAATATTATCTTAATTATACACTATCTAGAAAATTTAGAGATGTCGTTTTCTGAACCTAAAGCTCTGTATCACAATCATTATATTTTTGTTTGATCCTTTATTGGATAATAATATAGGATTTATTATTTTTTATATTAAAGTATTTGAAATTTTTATCATTTTTTTATATATTTGAGTATACTTATAATTTTTTAATATAAATTATAAAATTGCATATAATTACCGGGTCATGCGGTTGAACCAGTGACCCAGTACCTCGACCGGGTCAATGACCGAACCGATTTTAATAACATTGAGTCGAGGTTCACATATGATTCAGTGATCCAAGCTAATGAAAAATAGATACTTTCTGATTTGCTTACATGGAGGAAAGAGAAATTTTATTTTTTACTTCACGTGACAGCTCCTCAATGAAAGAAGTAGGTATCCCAGAAGTCCAGAACTGCTATAAATACTCTAAGGGGGCATTTGGTAGAGGATAAATTTTTTTTATCTGGGAATCATGATTTCCGAAAATATAATTGGAAAATAACTTTTTCGGAAATGTTAGAAAAAAAGTGTTTGGTAGGCAGAAATATTGGTGGAAATATTTGTAGAATTTTAATATTGCTATGTTTGGTTAATAGTAAAATTTTGGTGAAATTTTGGATATAATGTACAAATGTACCCTCATTTTTATATATTAATCCGTTTTTTTACAATGCAAGTACAAGTCACAGGGTCATTTTTGTCTATGGTTTCACTGTTAATTTTTTGTTTCCCCGAAAAACACACAAATCCATCTGATCCGTGGAATATTTTTGTTGGGATCCTAAGGAGGCGTTTGGTTGAGGAAATTTTTTTGGAATAGTAGGGAAATGTAACAGATAGAGAAATGATTGGAAAGTGAGATAAAGTGAGATAGGTAGAAAAATGTAAAAAAAAAGTTGTTTGGTGGGGAAAAACTTTACTAGGAAAATTAGGTAACTTTTATGAAATCAACAGTGCATTAAAAGTGAGATAACCGGTTTTCCAAAAAATCCCACCTTCAAACTGGGTTTCTAAACAGTGCGGATATCTATGTTTCTCATAAATTCATACAAGTTGGATAGATGGGTTTTTGGTGAAAATATGTTGAAACAAACATGGTATTTCTAAAAGCCATACTTGAGAAACATATATATCTCTTGAAAAGCTTCAAACCAAACACCACCTAAAAAAATTTTAGGTTGATTTTGAAATCCTAACATTTCAACTTCCCTCGAATTATGTCACATTTTTAGTTTACCAAACGTTGCATTTCAGTTTACCAAGCCTAAAAATCCAAGAAAACAATAAAGAATCCGCCTAAGAAACACGCCCTAAGTACTAACATCTTTTTGTTTTCTACTCCAGAGCTGCTTTGTTGCTTTTTATGCCTTTGGGCGCTCATTTTACAACCAAAATAAAATTAACACAATTGCAAATATATTATAAAATTATTAAGATAACATTCGCTTAATAACTCAAGGTACATAATATTAGAGTCTCGAGAATTTAATTCTATTTATTTTATTTTATTAATAAATAATTAAATATTATAAAATTTCTTAATACGCATAGAAATATATGTATTATCCGATGCTCTTCAAGTCTAACGGATTTTTTATAAGGATGTGTTAAAAATATTATAAAATATCCTTCAAATTCAAATGTTGGGTTGGATTGGTTTTATCTACGCTCACCTACACTTACCTCTACACTTCATATTAACTTCTTGCACACACAAAAAGAATTTCCACTAATAACGAGGCAGAGAGCATGAAAAAAAAAATACAAAAAAGAAGAGATAAGGGATATTTTAGGGTTGGAAAGGAAAATAAAGAAGGAAATACCGAGAGTTAAAATGAGAGAGTCTAGCACTAGAGTGAGAGGGAAGAAATAATATTCTTTGTGAATTGTGCTGGAGTAGAGGTTCGTCCTTCAACTCCTCCCCCTTCTCCTATGACACATGAATATCTTAAATGTTTTTGCTTGTTATACTTGTGTTCTAATTCAAATGAACCATATTCCACTCACAAACAGAGGGCGCACTCATTCATTAGCACCTCACAATCATGGAACTAATAGGTCCACGTTTGTTTTCCATTCACCAATAAACACCCGTGTCTACACCATTTCACTGCACAGAGCCAAAAAATAAAATTTTACTTGCATAACTTTTCATACACGCCTGATACACCAATAATTGTTCATAAAATTAAGATTTGAATTTTCTTCTCAGCTGGTGAACTTGATAAATTACTGAATTCCTCATTAGAGAGAAGCCTCGGCAGGAAATTGCCCTTGGATTCCCCAGTCTTGAAACGAAAAACCTCACATCCGAATCCTATAGCAAATTTAATGCCTCTGGTTTGGTGTCTCTCTTTTGGATCTATGTCCATGGTACTTGCTCTGCCCAAGAACTGATTTCACGTTTATAAATTTCGATGAAGAGCTAATTTTACTTCCAACACAAAATCTATGTCGATCCATCATAGAGGTTCTAGTAGTTAAGTCAATTTTGGGGTTGAGAAAGATGGTAATTTGTCAAGATTATTATATTCATAATATACATATATAAATAGGTGAGTTATACACCGGTTATTATGTAGATGGGCCGGTGATGATACGTAGATGGGCCTTGAATAATCCATGCCCGTATGGGATAACGTTATCTGCCGAAAAAAGTACTATTCTAAGATTTTTGTACAAAAGAATTATTCGATTAAAGTTGATTGGATAAGTTTTTCTAAACTAATATAGTCAAACACTTACTGATGCTGATGGAACTAGTCCCGACAATGATACTGACGGGATTCGTGTCATGTCAGCGCCACGTAAGCAGTTCCGTTACCGTAAAACTTCGAAAAGTCATAACTTTTGGCTTGGGTATTCAAATCAGATGATTTTTTTTATTTCACATGATTTTTCGAGATCTACGCAATGAAACCTCATTTGACATATTTTATCTTCCACAAACATAGTTTGAATTTGTAACCATGTACCACAATCACAAGAGCGTTTAAATCCAGAAGATAGCACATGCGGCAGCTCATGGTATTGGTTCGGAAAGAACTCAAGATCTTCTGAATTTAAATGATCTTCTGAATTTATATGTACTAACATTAGACATTATCTGTCAATATTATTATTTTTAGTTCATTGTATTTTATTTTATTTTTAGAAATTGTTCCAAGGATATCCTCCAGCCGAAAACCAAGGACTAATCTCCTCGAGGCGAAGAGATCATACGATCGTGGGTATAGCCTCTTCCAACAAAGTATTTTCTATACACACGGCCAAAGATCGAATCCCTGTCAACATGCTTAAAGGACCCAACTATCTACCAACTGTGCCGGATTTTGTTGGTGTTCATTGTATTTTATGATACATCATTACACACCCCATGTTAGCATTTCACATGCACACAAAATGAAATAGAATGAAAATATATAGGTCAATTATATTGTATTTTCCTTGGTTTGAATCTTTTTAATGAGATTAATATATATATTTTTTATTTATATATAAGGATTAAAGGAACTACAAATTGAATTTTTTTTATTATAAACTAATTTGATTATTGATTCCCTTCTTGATTTTTAATCATATGGCATTTTGTGTCCACAATCTCCTTTTTAAAAAACATTTCCTTATTTTTATATCATCAAAGATTCAGTGTATCACTGATTAAAAAAAAAGTAATCTACTTAATTGTCTTTATTCTACTCATTTCTTTATAATTAAAATCACTTAAATTTCACTTATTTTTCATTTTAATAAAGAAGTATGTATTATAGGAATAGAGAAAAATGTGTGTCATTTTAAATAACACATCTTACATCTTTTTACTCTCACAAAGAGGGGGATCCACATCTTTAAAACTTTTTTCCTTCACTTTCTCTCCCATGATTTATTTATTTTTTCTCATTTAAAATGACACAACTTTATATCCTTTAAAAAGGTACACACTTTTCTCATAGGAATATTGAAGATTTACTTCTTCTTCTTTTTGTTGAATATATAATGACAAATACTATCATAGATATTCTAACTAAATCTAAATAGTGGCAGAGCCACATGTTAATCGGGGTAGCCTCGGCCCGGGCTAAATTTTAACAAATTATGCTTATTGTGTATAATTATATAATTAATTATAATTTAGTCCGGTCTAAAAATGTAATTTTTCCCGGGCTAAAATTTATAATTTAGCCCTATCAAAATAATAAAATATATTTGGTGAGAGATTTGGGTAAGTTGTATTAAGTTATGTATTTCATTTCTACTTCTATAAAAAAATTAATATATTTAATAAAATTATAAAATATTTCATAAAATTATAACTCTTTTGATACTATCTGCTCAGGTGTTTTATATTTAATATAATTTAAATATATTATAATATGAACTAATTAAAATTAAAAAAAATAAATACACATGTAATTTTTTAACCCGGGCTCCAATTGGAGCCTGACTCCTGAATCTAAATTCAAATTGTGAAAATAACATGATATTTGCCCATAACTATATGTACAAACATGATTGATTACTAGTCCGTTCCGTTAGCTAAATAATACACTTTGTCAATAAAAAAATTGTGAATCTTTAAGCAATTTATAAATGGTGTAAAAATTCCAATGTGAATATATCAGTATTGTGATAATATATATTATATGCCCTTACATATAAGTACGAACACCATTTCCTAGTTAAAATATAAATTACATACCATTTCCTTACATAGCACAGCTTTATGTAGCAGCAAATTAATGAAGCAAACTTGGAAGTTTAAAGAGGCTTCGAATAATTTATAGAGTTTGACTAGGACAACGCAGTATCATTGCCATCAACACATATTATTAATGTGATTATTTGCTTAATTATAATGCTATCAAAGAAGGGGTCTTCAAATCACATCCTTCTTCCACCCCAACCACTTTCACGTTGACAATTGAAATACACAGCAGCAACTGGTAATCCAAGATTATAAACCTCTGCAAATTCTCTAGTGTTGAAATTTGTGCGCCATCTTGGAGCATGAACAATTTGTCTGCCCAATTGTCGAAACAACACAAAAGTAATACGTTGAATCCCTGATGTTGGTCGTGGACTTTCATAGTTCACAATCTCTTGTCCTATAGGCGCAACAAAATCTATTATCACATCCGCAGATACATATCGACAAGAATAAACCATTTTCTATACTCTATCAAATTTTCTAAAATTCAACATATATTATAATTTTAAGAATTTAAACGATATCAAAATATCAACAAGTAAATGACATACATTTTTTCTTATTTTAATTTAATATTTATAATAAAATTTAAGTGATTATAAAATTAAATTTTTATATTACTTAAATTTATTTCAAGTAAGAAAAAAAACTTATAATTCATCTACAGCTATAAAAGTTAATAAGTTGTTTTGTTCATTATATATGTTTGATTGAGTTATTATATTGGAAAATTTAATTCCGAAATGGAGGAATGCCAATTTATTTATTTTTTAATATGGTCGCTCTCTATTTTCATTCTGAAAATTCATAGTAACGCAAAATCAAAATGGATTCCCGTGTAAAGAAGTAAGGTTTTTTTTTTTTTAACTTTACATGTTTAAGTTAGTTTCGATAACAAGTAGCAAACATAAATTAAGATCTAACCAATTATTAAAGCTCAAGGTAGAACAAAAAGAAAAGATAGAAAATAAAAGTTGTGTACATGTACATACCGAAGCTTGCCCCTGTAGTTGCTGGAATATTGATTACCAACCTAGGCATCCATCGAAAAACACAAGTTATATTTCAACTAGAAATTATACCGTGCAATAACGGGTTACATTCGTTCGATCGGCTCGTTTAATACGTTAAATTTTACAAGTTATAAAAATGGATTAAAATTTGTCCGGCATATATATATATATATATATATATATATATATATATATATATATATATCAGAGCTGGTTGTGCTGTTAAATTATTATTATTATTATTGAATTAAGACTTAAATTTAATTACTCCATCCCACAAAATAAGTAATATTGAAATTTACTCCGTCCCATGTAGGACGAGACATGTACACTATATAATAAAAAAGTAAAATAAAATGAAAGAAAAAAATAAAAAAGCATATTGCCATATTGGATTTTAGATTCTTAGTTCTGATCACAAATTCAGGTTGTCTGATTTTTCTTCTCTGCTTTTGTGGCGTTAACTCAAGGACGTGAAAACCATCCTTCTAAATTACTAAACGACAGCACAACAATAAGACTTGTTTTTCTTCCATTTCTCACATTTCAAACTTCCTTGCTGTGTCGTTGTATTTGGATTTTCCTTGCAATGTTTTAAGCTTTTTATCATAATGAGTTTTTTTTTTATTATTATTATTTTAACGAGTTTACTTGCCGAATAAAAAAAAAAAGTTGTTATTTTCAACTCATTTAAAAAAGGTGGATCAATCCCCTGATCTCTTTTTATCAAGTTAGAGCAAGTCAGAATATAAAGAATTAATTTAACCCATATATATTGTATTATCAACTTTAAATACATGGATATTAGAAAATTAAAAATTAATTAAGAGAAAATTTTATGATTTTAAGAAAATATATAATTAATAATTTATTCAAACATAAATTCAAAATATAGATTGAAATAAAAAATATTTGAGATTATAAAGAATGGATGAATAATTAATTTAAAAGATAATAAGTTAAGAATGCGATGAATTATTTTCTAAAATAAAAGGTAGGTCATGAGATTAAATGATCGCTATATTTGACGTAGATTCATGTTTAAAAATAATTAATTAAAAAATAGTTAAAAATGTAAAAGAAAAAAATGCAGAAAAGGCATTTTTCAACACTAAACCCTTGCATATAATAGCAAACTATAGTATAATAGGAAATTACTACGAAGCATGTGGTTCAATTGTTAAGAGATTATTCCAACTTAACTAATAATCTTAAATTCGAGTCCTAAAAATGTAACTTTGTTAAAACTTCAAGTTCCTTTTATTTTGTAATATAAGGGTGAATTAAATTCATTTACCAAAAAAGTCTTTCTTATAATCTCTGCAGTTTTCTTTGTGAGTCATATTATGTTAATGGGATAGGATTCGTTTACAAACTTTTTTTGCAAATTACACTAAATACGACCGGTCGTATACTTCATGATTAAAGTATGACCGCTCGTACTTAGTGTAGTTTGTAAGAATTTGTAAACAAAAAAGTTTGTAAATATAATCTGCTATTGGGTTATATTACTTTCATATTGTATCAGAGTAATATAATTTCTTACAGATTCATCAATTGTTATGTCTTTTTTTTGCATTTTTAATAAATAATGCGGCCTATCACGTGATTGTATCTACAACATGAGATAATATATCTCCTATTGCATGAGATTAATATAACCCTATATTATTTAGTAATTTTAATTTGGTAAACTAGTAGAAGAGTCTGTGACTGTGAGTGAGATACGTTTAAAAAGTGCTCCGTTAAACCGGAAAAGAATTAATAGATTTTTCATAATTATATTTTCTCATGTAAAAGTAATTGTCAAAAACAGTAAAATGGATTCAAAGTTTGTTTAGTATAAACATATAATTAATTATATAGTGTAAATGCATCAAGCACTAATCATTTCATCGAAGACTAACTAGTTTGAAGGGTCTTTTTTTTCTTTTAACTTCTCTTCTTATAAAAACAAGTTATGCCAAATAATATTTTACAAAAACTCATGTCATAAAAAGAGTTTTTAATAATATAAAACAAAAAAAAATCCTGGAGGAGCTTTTTTTAATATGTATATTAAATTTTTTGAGTTTTCATATTTATTTTTAAAATTTACTGTTATTCTAAATTTGTATTTACAAATTTTACCTTTTACTCTAAAAAATTACCCTAATAACAAATTATTAAAAAATTTGAAAACAGTTTGATATAAGGCTTTTTTAATAGTTTTAATATATAATCTTTCTAACACACCCCCTTATACAAGAGTACTTTGGGCTTGAAGCGTGGATATTGCACAGGCCTTTTTTTTGTTCCATGATAAACAATCATCTCACTTAAAAATTTAAGTTGTCAAGTAAAGGCTACATTTACGGATGTAAATTAGGTCAGGTTTGACCTATTACAAATAATAAAATAGATCAGGCCTAGGCTTTTACAAAAATCTATTTAGAAAATAGGCCACAAGTTTTTTTGTATATGTCGAGCCTATAAGCTACAAGCCAACCTATATCATATTATTTATTTTAAATAAAATAAATAAATTATTATTTTAATAATTTTGAATAATAAAGTAATATTATTTAAGTTATTTTTTAAGGGAAAATATTTGTCTTTTTAAAAGAACTAACTTATGTCATTTTAGATCTTAACCGTTGATCTCCGTCAATCAACGATTATGATTTATTGGGTCAAATTTATTAATTAATTAGTAATTCACAATAAAACCAAATAAATCCTAACCGTTGATTGACGAAAATTAACGGTTAGGATCTAAAATGACTTAAGATTAGATCCTTTAAAATGACAAATTTTTTCTCCTTTTTTTAATTGTTGAATGTTTAACAGGCTTAAACAGGCTAACAAGTCTGGGCCAAGATTTTTGTTTTTAAGTATAGGTCAGGCTAGACTTGTAATTTGGGGCCTAAACAGGTTAACGGGCCAGGCCAGATCTAATGTTTTTTACGTAGACCTGACCTATTTAAGTCAAAGTCTAGCATATTTACACCCCTAGCTACATTAATAGTTTTCTATATTTTTTCTCTAACACACCCTCACGCAAAAGCTTTTTCAGTTTGAAGCATGAATATTGCACGAATCCTTTTTTTATTCTATTTTGTACTAACTTAATTCCATTAAAAAATGGAGAGAGATGGAAATTAAACTCGTTATTTTATAACTATATAAAAGTAGCTTTTAGTCTTAAAAAAAATTCTCAAACATGCTCTAAGCCTACTTTAAATCTTAGAGTTATAGTGAAAATGATTTTCTTTTTGAAAAAAAATAGATTTAATCTCATTTTCGTAAATCATATGAACAATTTGGTGTTTATTAGAAATAATAAAAAATGGTTGAGAAATCACAATGGAAATGGGGCCAGTGAGACTTTTTTCGGCATGAAATTATATCAATCACACCATAATATACCTTACAGATATATAAAAATCATTAATGTAGCCTCACCCACCAGCTTAAGCAGCTTAAGCTTTTGTGTTGAATTAGTTCTTTACATAGTATCAGAGTCTTCTTGGTGTCACGGGTTCAATTCTCATTACCTCTCATTTTCTTTGGGTTCTCTTGTGAGAGTGTGTGTTAGAGATATATAAAAATTACTAACGTAACATTATCCACCCATTCAAACTCAATAGACTCTCTTGTGAGGTGTGTGTTAGAGATATATGTGTTAATTTGTCAAAAAAAACAACATAAAAATGGTGCTGAATAAAAATGATCTGCATATGGCATGCAATGAATTCACTACTATATATCAAGGACACGATAGCCATTTTGGACAGAACACGAGATTAATTCATTGCTCATATAGCATTAAGATATAGGCTTGTATATAAGAATTGAAGGATGTTGGGCGTAAATAATTAACTGCGGTTCTGTCACAATGACATAGATTAATAGACACACAATCACAAGGCGACAGATGGGGCACTCACCAATGCAAATATTCCCTCATATTGGGGTCACTTGGGCTAGGAGCATCAGGGTTCACCATGATCTGCATATTGCATGCAATAAATTGACTAGTATATCGAGCTAGCTACAGAGATGTAGAATTTTCGAAAGAATATAACATATGGAGGTGAGCATACCAGAGTGTAAAGGGTCCTGAGGTCATCTCCACCAATATCAACTCTTGGTTTGTTGACGATTTGGGAAGGCTTGAACTCACAACAGTTGATAACTTCTGAGTTATTGTTATAGACAACCCTTAGAGGGATAGAACTTGTAAAGGGATCCAAAATGTCTCCTATTATACGTCCAAGAAGAAGGGGATCCATTGATCTAGGCATAACGTGGTTCGGCCTGATTTTTTTTCCTACCTAGCTTGGGTTTAATTAGAGTGGGAGAAATGCCTATTTATATATATTTTTGTGTGAGTTTACTGATGTGACATGTTGAGTTGTGCAGCGAGCCAGTAATTAGGAGGAAAATCTCCCCTCTAAATCTATACAAACCTTTAAATTTAAACATTATATTTTTTTCTCGTATAATTAGTGATTATCCCCCTCAAAACTTATAGAAATATTTATTGTGAGCAATGTTTTAATTCTTTTAGTCGTATAAATAAATGAAAAATATTTTTCCTGTCACGTGAGATAAAGGTATCTCCGGCAATTCCAAAATTACATCATTTTGAAAATTGAAAAAATTAATGAAGGATATTTTAGGAATCTTATTTGTTTTTTGTTATATAAATTTTACTAAAATATCATTCATTAATTCTCTCAACCCTAGAAATAACATAGTTTTATGATTGCTGAAGATAATTTTATCTTTGTTAACAGGAGGATCAATAAACCCTATAAATAATTATAATTTCAAAAGAAGAATATTAATTATTTTTTCTCCCTCGTAAAATTTTTCGACTTCCCTATTAATGGCCATCAATCTATTCTGGTTTTCCTTTTCTCCCAAGATTTACTTCTATATCTGTTAAAAGGGCTATGTCGTGTGTGGAAAAGAAGAATCTCTTAGAAAGTTGAAAAGAGATTTTTGTTGATGCCTTAATTATGTTATGCTTGAAGCAAGGTTTAAAATTGTACTTGTGGTCTTATAAAGAGTTAAATTATATTATACTTTCGATAATTGTGCAACAACATGGACAAGTTGTAGACAGACACGTACAATAAAAGCAAGATCAAGTTGCACCAATTGACTAAAACTTTCGTTTACCTTTGTATGACAAAGGGGGCACTGCCCAATCAAGAATTGTATTTGTCCCTAGTTAAACGAAAAGCCAAAGAATAACCTGAGTTTCTACCAATCTTTGTCCTCGCTATATTATTTTCCCTCTAACATTGGCAGCACCAGCCAGAACAAAAAGGTGAAAGTCAACATAGAATAAAGAATAAAGCAAGTACAGTGGCACTATAATGGGCTAGGATTCCTTCACCGGAAGCAACTTGCAAGCAAAATTCTAGATCTTGAAACAACCTTAAATCTTAGATTTCAGTCAGATTTTGTGAAAGAAATATTTCCTTCTTCTGAGTATTTTGGTTCAATGCATCAGTTGAATTTGGTTTCTCTAAAGAGGAAAGAACAAACAACTGTTGTATGATAGGATAAGGGCCTCAATATATGCTACCTTTTCTAATTTACTTTTGGATCGATACAGCAATATATTCCTCTATCTCAAGACTTTGTATGATAGAAAATTAAACAGCTTAATTAGGTTTGACGTTGTATGTCTAATACAAATAAAATAAAAAGACTTTTTATGATAAGAAAATTAAAGGGCTTGGTTTGACATTATATATATATATAAACAGAGGTGGCTTCTACCAACCATTATTTATGTTATTTAAGAGACATTGTAATTAAGATGAATATATCATAGTTTTGATGCAGCATTTTAAATTTTGTATAATTTGGGAATTTGGAATAATATATAAATTATTGATTTGAAAGGTTTGTTTGTATATATTATGGCCTATAATCATGAATTGTTTGGGGAATGACTTGGTCATAACTTTGCAGCTAAAAATAAAGATGTAAGCTTGGTGCACCAAGTCTTAATAGGGGGCTAATAATATTATTTTATCTCATACGAGGTGGCTTGATATTATTATCTTTATAGTAATATGTAGAGCCAAATTAGGCAAAGAGCCTGAGATCGAAATGGGATGCCCGTTGTAATTTTATTTGAGTATATTCACTTTATTATTATTATCATTATTATTTGATTAAAGTATGAATTTATGCTTTACACATAGAATTGGGTTTACCAACTTAAATATTATTATTATTATTTAGTAATATTATCAAACTCGAACCGGTCATCGTTTGGTCAGAATATTGGATCAATAAATCATCTGTTTAATATGTGGGTCACTGGTTAAATCGTTTGAAATATATATATATATATATATATATATATATATATACATAATAAAATTTATCTAGGGGGGGAGTGTTGTAAGTTACATACTTCATGTTATATAGGTTTGAGTCCCACCACAAAAACTTTTCAAGATATATATAATAAATATAAAATTATAAATATTATTTTCTATAAGTAAAGTTGATCTGGTAATAAATGTAGTAAATTACATCTCTCATATTCTAGGTTTGAGTTCCACCACTATTTAGTTGTGGCTGGCTATATGTTACTAGGTTTTCTGTTGAACATCATTGGTTGATTTTGAATTGCTTGAGCTGAGTAAGGCCTTAATTCTGCCTAGTTAATTTTATGTTAGTTTCAAAAGTACCAGTATTATTTTAGGATGTCTATTTTTAAGGGAAGTTACAGGATTCTGTAGCAACATTTTCCTTTAGTTTTAGAACGTGGTGTTGTTAAAGACACTAGATTATGTTAACTAACTTGTGCACCAGGTTGCCTTGTGGCTAGGTGTGGGTCAAGACTTGGCCCATCCAAGTTTCTTTACCCCCAACTCACCCTCTTCTCTAAGTAATGTTGGATTTCCTGAAATTATATCCATTCACTTACCAACTCATGCTTAAACTAAAATTACAAGTTAGCTTATCTCCTTCAAAGAGAATGTGAGGTTTCTTGCTCCCATGCCATACTTTTTATGGTCCTGTATTTTGTTGGGGTGAATGGGAGAGAAGAAAAAAAGAGGGAGAGAGAATTTTCTTTCTTTTGAGATAAAATAATGATAAATTATTCTAATACGTCAATATATAGGATGCTAGTGACATTGTCAGGAATCCCGATGAGCAGGCAAGGACTTACATAGAGGATTGTCTCCAAGATATTTTCTCCAAAAAAAAAATCCACATGTAAAGTTGTAAACTATTCACATTCAAACTCATACACTGGAGATATATTGAACTTTATTTGGAATCCTTGAGCTAGTTGAGTCAAATGCACTAAAAGTTGTATCCTTTTGATGATGATGTATGTTTAATTATGTTAGCAGGTGACAACTTATTTGAATTTCCATGGCAATAGCCAAGCGATAGAGCATGACCTTATTTGCTTAAAATTCAAATATATATTCTTCTAATTTAATCAGTTGGGGACTATTAGAACATGTACCTAATGTTACTGTCTGAATGATTGAAGAGTAAGACTTTAGTTTATAGAGAATAAAAAATCTCATGTAGCACCATCAAAAGATGCTCATCCAAAGCTACCAAAGGAATCGAAACACCTTCACACCATTCCATGAATTTTACGTTAGAGTTTTTGTTAATTATTATAGGTTTCAATCAGTTTTTCTTATTTTAATAAAAATGGGATAAGTCGTAACTCATATGGAGACTGGGGTGTAGGGGTGAAAGTGGACTGGGCTGGGCCAAACTTTGCTCCGAAAAGTCAAACCTACGCCAAAAAATTTCAATTTGGCACGGCCCAAGCCTAGAACGAGTCTAATTGTTAGCCTGGTTTTACCCTTTTATAAAAAAAACAAATGGTCTGGTCTGACCCATTAGCCTGTTAATTTTTAACTTCCAAACAGAACTATGAATCAACTTTACAAAATGCTCAAATTCTGTTGCTAAACCAAAAATCATAATTTCAACGTCCAAATAGAATCATGAATCACAATAAAACTCATATAATCTGCATTTAAGTCACTTTCAAAAGCAAAATGCTCAAACTAAATAACATATATTTTATCAGATCCAACAAACAAATTCATACTATGTAAATTAAAATAACTACATGAATCCAACAAACACATCATGATGCTTGTAGTAAATATAACTTCTCTCAAAAACCTTTAAATATATTCATATACACAATCTAACATGCTGAGATGTTGGTTCCTCCTACATAAGAAATAAAGTCAGATTTCTATTAAAATATAATCAAATATAATTAAGTTATAAATAATTGCAATTAATTAAATTTATATTTTTTGTTTTTCTTCAAGGCATATTTATTATATTTTATTTTATTTAAAATAAATAGTATAATATAGGCCGGCCTATAGGCTTATAGGTTAGGCCTTGTGAAAGTGGACCTACGGCCTTTTTATTAAGCAAGCTTTTTCAAGGTCCAAGCCCAGCTTATTTTACGAAATATATTAGGTCATGTCTGACCTGACGTAAGCCGAGCCATAGGCCCCTGTAGGCCGATCCGGCCCAGTTTCACCCTCACTTGGGGTGCAACAAAAATCTTGCTTAATTGAGTAATGCTTCTGTTTGATTTTAGATTTTTATAATATTGATTAATGTAAAGGCGAAGCTATCAAAATAGGTTATAGCTGGCGGGATAATTCTCAACGCCCTATATTAACCTTAAGCCCATTTTGTGAAGGGCTTTTCCTAACCCTAATCCCCAAAGCCTATAATTTAGCAAGCTAAATAGAGACTTACGTACTACCCACAATTTTCCATTTATTAAAATTCTCATTATTTAAAAATAAAATAGTATATATATATATATATATATATATATATATATATATATATATATATATATATATATATATGTATAAATTTAAATATTTATAAAAAGCAAAATAATATAAAAATATACATTTCATATATATAAATTTAAATATTTATAAAAATTAAAATAATATAAAAATATACATATCATATATATAAATTTAAATATTTATAAAAAGTAAAATAATATAAAAATATACATATCATATATATAAATTTAAATATTTATAAAAATAAATTAATATAAAAATATACATATCATATATATATATATTATAAATAGATTTTTAACAATACAATAAGAATTTTATTTATTTATTTTAATTGTTGTTTTGAATTATTTTAAGTGAAAGATATTTCCTTCCCTATTTAGAATTATGTTTTATTCATTTTATATGTTCTTTTCAATAAAATTAACAATAGAGTTAATATTTATATATTCAATATTTAAAAATAT